TATTTTAGTTTAACATAATTAAAAATATACTTTTAAAAGGAGGCTTTTAAAATATAAAATTAAAAGCAGAAACAAAGATTTTTGCTTTGAACCCAATAAAGAGGGATTACGTGCATATGAGGCCAAAATAAAATTTAGGCAATATTGTTTCCCGAATAGAGAAAAGAAATCTTAAATCTGGTGTACTGTTCTGGTCCCTGTGCAAGATACGGCTACATATATAGTTAACTATTTTTGTGTTTTTCAATCGTAATCTTAACCAAGCATAACCCTGTGTCAAGGCTATAATTAATATTTAGTTTACTACTTACGTTAGCTACTGGTAATATATTATACTCCCGTTTAGCACTCAATTATACGTCAATTCTTAGATTTTTAGTGTTAAAAGTTGTAGGTTTCTTTCACTTACTTATTTTTTTGTAATTTGGTTCCGGTGACATACGGTGCGCACAGGTCAGAGACGGTTGCAAAACGGATTTTGCAACCGTCTCTGACCTGTGCGCCTTCTATTACCATCCATCTATCTCTTAGGTGGACGATCACGAGATCTTATTGTTCTTTCAGAATTTAGCCGAGTCGGACCGCTTTGTCTACTTGTGAGTGTTCATCCGAACTGTAATGCAGCAGCATTTTCAGATTATACAAAATTGTCAAAATCTTTAGTGAATTTTCAACTTAGCGGTTGAGATCATTTTACATAATTAGATTGGAGACTTTTGATATATTTTGGTAACCTGACATCCCCTTATCCTTATATATCAGTTTAATATAGCCAAATCCGCACGTATCACATCATAGTGCAAGTCAGGGTTAATAGCTAAATATTGGAGGGCCGCTAAAGCGCGCCGCTTGAAAGGAACAATGCTGGCGTCTGCTCATTGTTGTTTATCCGCGATTTAATGTCGCTTTTCATGTCAAACTGCATTAAAATGTATGGACCGTTGGCATCTTTGAAATGAGCGTCAAGTTTGTTATGTTTTAAAATTTTGAATTTGTTTTTTAGGGTCAACGCCCTTGTTTCATAAAAGTTAGTTGTAGCATGCTAGAAAAAAAACTTATGACAAGATATGCACTTTACACTAGCATTCTCTTGTAAAATGCATATTTTGTCATAGTTACAGCTTGGGCATGCAAAAAATGCCCTTGGGTTATTCACAAATATCTTAAATTTAAACTTGATAGCGCAATTATTTGTAAAAATATTTAAAAAAACACCTTCTCCTGTAAAATTCGGTTTTTGTTATACTAAGATGGCGGTTCGATATGTTATTGTAATAAAAATTGTGTTGATTTCTGCAAAGAAGTGGTTCACAGATCTGATTTTCCTTATTTATTTACTGGGTAAGTAAATACAAAAAAAAACTATAATCTTTAAACGTCAAAATAAAACTTCATTATTTTATTATGGACCTCCTGCTAGTATGAATCAATATGTGAGCTATTCTCAAAATAGTGAAATTATAATAGGTTAGTATATAAATAAAGGTTTAAGTGCACTTCTACATTCTATTAAATTAGGCTTAACTCAAACTATTTTCAGTTATTTACTCGGTAAATAATATTTTTGGGAAAAACTTATATTATATATAATACAACGTATGAAATTACAGTTCGATATAAACAAAAAGTATCTTCAATTGGAAGCAACTGTTATCAATCGAACAAAGACCGTATGCGTGACATATTTGGTTTCAATTGTTGATAACAAAGGTGATGTACATATTCGGTTTCAAATACTGATACTGAATTATAGTAATATAAGTTCTTTACGGGATTGTTACCATGTACCTTGTTTTTAGCGAACGGATTGGTAACAATCCCGTAAATAACTTATATTACTATAATGTTAGTGACCATGAAACTTTAGTTTAGTGACCAATATATTGATACTGAATTGTTTTACGTAGTCTGTATATTTTATTTTATTTATAATCGTGTAAATTAATACGTGAGATGTGAATTCTGGCAATTTTTTTTATTAATTTTCGATGAATTCTTTATAACTGACGTACACGGCCAAACAACAAGAATTGGTCGGTAATAAAGCCAAGAAGTTTTTTTAATCTAAAGATTTTTTTAATAGAAAAAAAATCCACGCTGTCCGTGCAACAGACGGGACTCGAACCTTTTTTTTTTTAATGTCTAGAAAATGCTTTCCGCATTCTCTGCCCACCGGGAGAAGCGCAGCGGAGTTATCCGGGACTCCTCTCCACTTATTTCACCCAAGTGGCGAAATGACGGGACTCGAACCTGCATCGGCGTCAGTGTATCACAAAAGGTACTTATCCTAATGAATTGAAACTGGCAATTATTAGACCGATATACAAGCAAGGATACCACACAGATTTCACAAACTATAGGCCGATAGCGATTTTGAATATAATTAATAAAATTCTTGAAAAGTTTTGGTAAGTCAAATAACAACTTTCATGGAACAAAATAGGATTATTAACGATGCCCAACACGGTTTTCGTCCTAAAAGGAGTAACCACTACAGTGCTATCTCAATTTGTAGACAGTGTAAACAATATTCCCCTAACGAAAAAAAAAATAGTATTTGCAATATAAGATTAAGAGCGGAAACATTAGATTTGGTGTTCCAACTGGTTCAGTAAATGGTCCTGTCGGGTAAGTAATGCACGTTAAAAGTATGCCGAATGTGATCAAACAGTGCAAAAGTTTTATGTATGCTGACGGCACATGTATCATATACAGCGGCACGGACCAAAATAAAATAAAAGAAACTATGCAGGAGGACTTTAATAATGTTATTCGTTGGGCCCATGATAATGGCATAATTATAAATATTGCTAAAACAAAGTGTATGCCAATACTCTCTTCTTATAATAAATGTAAGAATATAACTATTAAAATTAAAGGAAATACATACGATTGATTACATAGTAGAAATGTTGACTGTAGTTGCGTACAATTAGAAATGGTTCGTAGCTATAAATATTTGGGCTAACTGTTGAAACACATTTAAATTGGAACTGTCATATTAACGCAATATGTAATAAACTTAGATCAATTAAAAGTAAATTAATTAGTTTAAGTTATGTCATTTCTAGAGGAATTATGTATATACTTTATTATGCGATGGCCGACGCAGTTATATCTTACGGATTGGGCGCGTATGGACTTACTTTCCCTTCATACCTAAATAAAATAAAACATTTACAAATCTCGTTAATGAAACTATTAGTGTAGTAACTATTTCTGAGCAACACAATTGTTTTATTTCGTAATTAAATCTATTTAGTTTATAAAATCACATTATATGTATATATAAATATATATGGCTGTGTGTATGTAGGTATAAGTACACATGCGCGTGCGTGTGTATATTTTGTGTATGTGTGTATAAAATGTAAATTATATATGTTTAAACATACACAGTAGGTATATAATGTACGTAAATATAACAGGCAACAAATAGTCATGCTATACGCATGCCATTTTAACAAGTAGATCTGTTCAGCCGTTTTTGCTGTAAAGATATAAATTTATAAATATACGGGTAGTAAGTACCTAATTTTGTTTTCGAATTGTGGTTGATCCTCAGGAATTTGAGGTTACTAACGTTGCTAAAGTTAACCTAAACTTTAGGTTAACTGTGTTTGTTTGGTGATCATTTGCTGTTTTTTTGTTTTTTTTTGGGATCATATAAATATTTTCCATTTTTTTAAAGGTACCTATTTATAAATATAGTGAGATATACACAAAAATAATTATGTAATATCCACGAGAGCTAATGCCGACAAACTGTTGCACAGTTTGGCAGAATAGAAATAAGTGTTGTACTTAATTTTCATTAAAAATAACCCCTTCGTTATCCAGGCGAATGCTTTGACCATTATGCTACCACAGCCCTGATGGCCATGTAATATTTTTAGTGTGTATGCTGTTGGTCGTAGTCCTGTACAGCTTCACCGGGTTTGGGGACGGCGAATCCTTAGGGGACCTCAAGCCTCTTGAGGTATTCCAGGCGGATGGCATCTCCCCACGGGGTCTCCTCTCCGTCATCCTCGCCTCCATGTAACGGCTTAATTGATAACCATTCTGCTGTCTGGTCACCTGACGTTAAGTGGTGATAAAGTCCAAATGCGAATCCCCACCTTGCCGGCCTGCAAAAATGCTTCTTCACGCCTCTCTTTAAGAACCCCAGATTGTAGGAAGGAATACGTGCGGGTAAAGAATTTCGCTTACGAATAGTACGACAAAGAAATGAGTCACCAAATTTCTTTGTTCGTGTAGGAATAGTGGCCAGAGTAAGTCGGTGACAACGTAGCCCAGCGCGCGTGGTCCTCTGAAGAAAAGGTGATGGAGGGATAAGAGAGAATAACTCCTCAGAACACTCGCCGTGATATAGTCGGTAGAATGCGTTTAATGATGCCACATCGCGGCGTAGTTGTAGAGACTCAAGTTCGTTAGTTACCTCTATTTAGGACTTTGACTCAATAACAATATTGATAACAGTGGTGTGCTCATGCTTGTTGGCCTTGACTAAAGTTCAATTTGTTACTACATACTTTTGTTGGCTAGCATGAGTTTAAATAATTTTTTTTGAGTGAATGCACAGTTTTGATATAAGCTTTGTTTGGGCAAAAACTTTATGATCAGGAACAGTGTAAAAACAATAACTGAAAGCATCGTTTCATGAAACTGTTGTGGGTTTTCTATCACTTACCTTTGTAGTACAGTCAGCCACACATCAAACTACAAAATTTTATCAATCGATAATGAACCGTAATTACAATACAATACAATTCGTAGAAGAAATGTTCAGTTTAGGGTAACATGACCTGTGGCTGTCAGTACCAAAACAAGAAAAAATTTGAAGATTAATCGTGACTTGCCATTTTTAAGACGACGCTTTGTTATGTCATGATGATATCGTAAAATATATTGCTTACATAAAAAAATGATAATCAGTTATAAACTAAATATATGAAAGAATAAAAACAACAATCACTAGCAGTATACGATTATAAGTCTAGTAGGTGAAGTGTGTTAGAAATGGCGCCAAAAAATTTAGATTACTTGGAACTCGCTAGTCAGAGAGCCCGTGAAAAGAAAACGCATGTGAGCTTCCCTCAACTGAAGTATCCTTCGCTTAGAGATGAGGGTTTAAAGGATCCAGTGCAATGGCTGATCGGGAAGGCCATGGATGATGGAGCAGAAGGCTTGTGGAGAATCCACGATTCTCTTTACAACTTTGACACTTTCATCGATAGCCATCCTGGTGGTTCGGAATGGCTCCAGCTCACAAAGGTAAACAATTCATTTTAAAATATTAGGGTAGGTACTTTCTTATTTTTAAGATAACTAATTTTAATAAGAACTTAGCGATTTTTACAGTCGACATTCTGTTTAACTCAGAATAACCTTATTTGCAGTTCTGTTTTAAAGTGAAATGTAGCTTGTCCATCAATCATTCTCACGTTAACCAGGGTAATCTGTACAAAACAAATAGAGAATATACAATAACTAAATCTTTGTTAATTATTAAATTTGGCATGTTTTATACATACCTATTGAAATCTTTATGCATTTAAGGATAATTTGTTACTATTTCTTTCAAAATAAAAGTATAATTTGGATTTTCATTGGGTGGCGACATAAATTAAGAATAAATAAAGATTATAATAAGACCGTTTACTATCGACCTATAGTTATTTAAGCATGAAATGAAATGGTTGACCTCAAGATAAGAGTTAATAGCCTCACATTTACCTTCATTTTAGCGTTCTAAAAGTTGTCAAAGAAATCAAGTAGAATCTCTTGTCTGGATCGTAAGTAATCCAAGGTCAAAGTTCACAAAATTGGTTATCGCCATTATCTCAGTTGCTATAACTCCAATTATGTTAACATCTATTATAAAATTTGTGGAGCATAAATCTGTGTCAACTTTTGTACCCAGCATTTTTCGTCTTCGTCTGAAGCACAGGTGGTTTAAAAGAGCGTCAATTAGATGAAACTACTAAAATTACGTTTTGTAAAAACTTCAATTAGTCATTAGTGAAACTTGGTAATTTCCTTTAAAAGTGGTTATTTTACGAATTCTCATATAAATCTGCCAATTAGATACTTTTTTTATTTCATTTGATTATTTTCTTAGATAATCGATTGGTCTCCCTACGTTCGACTGAAGGGAGAAAAATCATATATCATCATAATCATATAATCACAGCTAATAATTTTCATTTGATTTTTCATGAAATATCTCGTCATAATTTCTTGCGTTTTATCAATATATAATTTATATCATCGTCAAAAGATAATTAACACAAATAAATGTTAAGTTTAAAATTCAAATAATTAAACATATCCGCAACGGATTAAACATACCCGCGTTACTAAAAAGTATAACATTTTTCAATAATTTTCTAACTTAGTATTAGACAAAAAGAATAATAATCAGAAGATGCAATTTCACAACTTCGGATTACCTGATTCGCTAATGACTTTTAAATATCTTATCATTCTAGGGAACAGACATAACAGAGGCGTTTGAGGCGCACCATGTAAAACTTATTGCCGAAAAGATGTTAGAGAAATACTTTGTAAAGAACGTGACTACGCCAAGGAACTCTCCATACACTTTCAAAGAAGATGGTTTCTACCGTACACTCAAAAGAGCAGTAAGGGAAGAACTGAAAAAAGTTCCCAAAAATATTCCTCAACATGCAAACAGGATTATCGACGGATTGTTCGTGACTTGTTTGATAACAGCCGCACTGACCTGTTGGGCGAAAAATTATTGGATTGTGATGATCTCCTATCTGATCTCTTCCTTGACACTTGCATGGTGTACTGTTGCTTCACATAACTATATACACAAAAAAAGCAATTGGAGGATGTATCTTTTCAATTTGTCTTTGTGGTCCTACAGGTAAATTGTAACTTTAGAAGTCATTAATTTTTTACCAATAAATAACTAAAAATAGCTTCTAAGCATATAATTCTAATAACTGCAAATTTAACTGAACATTAGTCGAATTTTAACTGGAAACGATACAATTTTAAGAAGATGCTAACCTTACGAACTGCTTATTGCATTCTTAGAGATAAGATATCACAAAAGTACATTTTCCAATCCTAGAAAATATTAATGTGGAGAAATAAGACCATGACAGATCCCTGTTCTTATTATGGTTACGGAAACTTTCTTATCTGCTGCTTACAGGCTTTTCTATCTGCAGGAGAATTTGATATGTGACTTTTTATATGCATCAATTTAGGTCCTATTATTAAATATTGAATTCATGTATTTATAGTAAAGTTTCCACTAATTTTCACAATTTTTTTAGTGATTTCAGGATATCACATGTTTTGTCACATCACCTATATACGAACACTCTAATGGATTTAGAGATAAGTGCATTCGAACCAATCGTACAATGGAATCCAAGACCAGATAAATCGTTTATAACGTACTTCAGTCCCCTTTTTCAATGTATATTCTTTCCTTTGAACTTCATTATGCATTTCGTGCAAAGGTATGTACTGACTTTATTCATTTTTTACACACAATAGCGAATTACCATAGTTTATACATCATTGACTTATATAGACAATAATAAACCAGCTTATTGTAATAAATTTCACTTATCTGTAATCTCAAACAGAGTTTATTGACTCACACGAGAGAGTGTTAGAACATTTGAACCTACTGATAAACTGTTGTGTGTATATTACGGAAAACATATCATTATGAATATTAGGTTTGTTTTGAATTAGATCAGAGCAAATAATTTCACTCCACCTGATGTTAAGTGGTAATGGTATATCTGAAATAACAATTCGTGCAATAGTTTTAACTGCCCCACCAGAGAATATTACTTTGCTTACCGACCTGCAAGTAATAATTTAGTTTTTCTAAATGTCTTCAAATATTGAAAATAATATATCAATTATTTTAACAACATTTTCTTACAACTGTTTACGTAGTGCTCTGTCTTGTTTAACTCCAATTCCTTTGATACTTATTTATATGACCACTGTGGCGTAGCATAGTTTTCACCTAATAAAAATATGTCCCATCGTGAAAAAAATTGTTAAAAAAATATATTTGTCAATTTATTCCGATCGATAAGGACCACCTCTCTCGCCTTAAATATAACACTGTAAATCATTTTCAGGTTAGGTCTTAACTTTGTACATGAAGATTTCTTCAGAAAGCATTATCGCTGGCATGACGCCATCGGGTTGCTTCTTCCTATCTGGATGTGGATCGTCAGTGGATGCACTTTTAGTGAAGCCATCGTCAACTGGCTATGGATCAACTGTACTGGCAGTTTTATTTTTGCGATGATTGGCACTAATGCTGCACACCATCACCCGAAAATATTCAAAGATGGTGACGAAGTGAGGTAAAAATCTTTTTATTTTTAGTCTGAAGCTCCAAACAAAGTTATGTCGTGCACGACTATTCATATGCTAAGTATCTTTTTCACAGAATAATATGTTTTCTTTAATACTTCTTTTTTTAATTTGGTATTTAAGTAAACCCTGATTCATATTTCAAAAGTACCGCGCCAAAACCAATAAAACTTATCTACAATAAATAATTATTTTCAGGACAATCACTCCAGACTGGGGTATGCAGCAACTAGAAGCTGTAATGGACCGCAACGATATCAACGGGAGTCTATTCAAAGTTTTGTGCTTCTTTGGTGATCACAGTCTCCATCATCTTTTCCCGACTCTGGATCACGCCGTGTTGCCATATTTGTACCCTGTGTTTTTAGAGCACTGCGAAAAGTACAAAGCAAATTTTAGACTGACGTCACAATTTGACCTTTTCATAGGGCAACTCAAGATGACAATTGATAAAAATTTTAAGCTTTTAGAGGACTAAGAACTGCCATACATAACTATAAAGCATTTTTTTAAGAATTACATTATACTTTAATATTTTTAATCACTTTTGCATACTCTTTTACTATGTTTTTTTTAATTATAGTCATATTACCTACTTGTTTTTGTACATTATAATATAAATGATGTATTCATTTTTATCATTAAAGGTCAAATATAAGCCGTGATAAGCTAATTTAACTGTGAACGTAAATTCAAATCAGAACTACAAAACTGTGTTAATTACAAAGCTATGTTGCCTAGTCAATTATGTCTGTCAAAGGACTAATTATTGCATGAAGCCAAATAATAACATTAAGATATTCACAGTATGAACGAACATAATATGAACATCTAAATTACATTAAATATAGATGTAAATTTTGGTCGCGAAAGAAATTCATCAAGGATTTTAATTCATTTGAAAAGCGATTACGTGATGACAAAACTAATGTCCAGAATGTTTTAGTCGAGTTTTTGTACATTTAATAAAATTACTTAAATATACATACAAGAAAATAAAGTAGTGGTACATAAACTGGAGACTTTTGAAAGCACAATTTAACAATAAACTGTGTGTATTATCAAAATGATTTTAAATCACCGCGAATTTCAGTTTGAGGGTAGCGCTTATACCGGTTTTTAGATATGTTCTACTGAATATATATATAGCTATGTTCTAATGAAGAAAGTGCATTTGCGTAGCATGTAATCACAAAGTAGCTCTAAGTTTTATTTGAAACGACCAAATGCAAATGAATTATGTAAGTACTATTCAATATCTACAGTCTACTCCATTGCACCTCTAAAAATATTGTCATTCATAGAAAATCTAATTGTCTAGAAAACAAAACTTTTTGGGCAAAACATTGTCTTACATTTTAGCCCTTTTCCTTGAGCCTTTTCCGAATCGCATAAATATCTTTTATTTCCGTACTCAAACATGTTTTTTATATAAACTGACTGCCTTCTAAAATAAAATAATTTACTAGATATGTTTGTTTACTGAAGGAAGTCATAGTTCCTATTATATTATTCTGGATTCACTTCCCTTCTTCAAGACGCCAACATTAACATTAATGGAGTATCAAACATTAAAGCCCACTCGAAATGACAAAAAGGAACTCAAAATACACTTTTTTCTAAGTAACCGTGATGACGTTAACCTTTATTCAATTTACTTTTTTATATAAAATACGCCCTAACTGCGTGCCCTTAATACCGTGGTACAAGGCATCGTTTAAAGATTTAAACATTTATCCCTAAAACACAGCCCGAAATGTGATTTGTAAATTAATGGTCCCATCAATTGGTATGCTTTCGACAGGGGTTTTAAATTAAGCCTGATCCTCGTCCGCTGGCTTGCGAGTTTTTATGTTGCCTCAAAGTTTATTTAAATTTCCATTTTGTAGTATTCACTTTTAGTCGTAATGGTAAAGCGAACATATTTATTTTCCACTTGTTCGTAAAATGTATTAAATATCTCTTTAATTCATTATAGAAAAGTCACTTTATAAATAAAAAACTGGACAATGTGCGAGTCGGACTCACCCACTGAGGGTTCCGTACAAATAATTAGATGTTTGGGGCGTTATTAAGAAAATTTATTCGTTGTAATAAACTGATGACCCATTTTTTATCCATACCCATAAACGATGAACCTTTTTTGCGTTAACCTAGAAGTTTGATTTTCCACAACTTCAAAGGATCAAAGAAAATATGGTTTAAATTTTAACTCGATACCTCCATGCATTCCTGCGATAAAGTATCTTGACAGACAGACAGACGGGCAACAAAGTGATCCTATAAGGGTTACGTTTTTTCATTTTGAAATACTTTAACAATGGGTTATTGGCATAAATAAGCAAAGAATAAATTCTCTTAATAACGCCCAAAAACCATCTAATTAACATAAAGTTAATGGTTGGCTTAGGTAAACCACTTATGGACCTAATTTCATCAAGTGATGGATCATCATCGTTATAAAAAAACTTGTTGTACTCGTCAAATTTGCTATACCCCAATTTACAATTCTGTGTATTAAATTGAAGAGAGACCCTCAGCGCTGCAAATAAATAAGTATGTTTTACCAAATTTATCAAAATTTAATATGAGTCATACAGATCATTTATGTTTGATAGTTGTAAAATTGTGTGTCGCCGAAATATTTTTTTTATACAAAATCAATTTGAAAAGCGTCAAAATAGTATAGAATATCCATCAAATAGACGAATGTCTAATTTGATATCAGTTAAAACAGAATATTCAACCAAAATGTACCTAAACGAGTGGTGCAGTAAAAAATCATACTGCTATGAAGTGATAGACTTGCTATGAAGAGTGTAAAGAGGTAGTGTTTATTCCATCATGTAAATATTAGACTAATAAATAAATAAAAAGCTGTTCTTTGTTTTCTTTATTATCTCAAACAGCAGTGCTGTTCTGTAAGAACAGACTCACTTTTCAATGCAGAATTCGCCGGTGTGATTTGAAAATTATTCGAATTCCGTGTTCTAATTTTAAATCACAGCTCGGGCAGATTCCGAGGTGAAAAGTGAGTTTGTTCTTACAGAATAGCACTGCAGGGTCAAATTGCTTGCGTCCGTACCGTGTTGCATTTATTTTTATTATTATAATAAGCGTGTCGGCTGAGGGGGGCTCAACAAGCCATAATACTCAGTTATAAGTGGCGATCAAATATTTTGTTTCCTGCTACCTCGGGTCAAAGAAAAAAAAAATGTGTGCGTGTACTAGTGTACACACGTAAGAAGTGAAACTTCTTTATGGCCTTATTTTTCGAAAAATGATCTACATGCAACTTTCCAGAAATTGGTTAAATAAAGTTAAATTAGATAAAGTTTAAACAAAAGGATTTTATTATCATAGACATGAATACAAATTACTGCCTATGAAACTGTTATGATTACACGGGCTCAGTAATCTAAGGCACATGTTCCACCTCCGACGATGAACGATAAGCGAGTAGAAACTAGAAACGAATTGGCAGTCCTGAGTTAAAATGCACGCGCACGGCTTTTGACTAGCTGAGCGAGTATCGCTGAGCGAGTATCGCTGAGCGAGTATCGCTGAGCGAGTATCGCTGAGCGAGTATCGCTGAGCGAGTATCGCTGAGCGAGTATCGCTGAGCGAGTATCGCTGAGCGAGTACCGCTGAGCGAGTTTCGCTGAGCGAGTATCGCTGAGCGAGTACCGCTGAGCGAGTACCGCTGAGCGAGTATCGCTGAGCGAGTACCGCTGAGCGAGTACCGCTGAGCGAGTACCGCTGAGCGAGTATCGCTGAGCGAGTATTGCTGAGCGAGTATCGCTGAGCGAGTATCGCTGAGCGAGTATCGCTATGCGAGTTTGGCTGAGCGAGTCTTATCTTTAATAACTATTGTCACTCAGCTACAAACGAGTAGAGAGAGTTCTCGCCGGCGACAGTGTGATCATTCAGCTATCAACTATTAATATAAAAAAAGATGGCGCGTAACGGAAAAATGTGACGCGTAACCGAAAAATGTGACGGTAAATTTTTTTCCAACGCCGATAAAGAAGTTTCACTTCAATAAAGTGAGACTTCAAAAAGTATCGCTCATTGGCTTCAATAAAATTTCAAGTGACAATTTCAATGATAGTGTGTTAATGTTATATCGATCCTACGCTCCTAGCGCTTGAAACGCCCTGGCCAATAAGAGAAAAATTCGGGCTCCTGCAGCAGTGAAAACTAGGTATTGAAAAAACAAAAACTTTTTTTAAACTATAAAAGTATAGCTTCATCGTCAGACACCTATTACTGTTTCTATTGCTGGGTACATTTAAAGTTAAATTACCATTTGAAGTCGGTGCCATCCATGTTGATAAGTAGATCTGAGTTACCATTTGTTGCTTACACCAAATTGTTATTTGATTTCAATTGTTTGATGTACCTACTTTAGATATAAGTAAAGAACATGGATTGTTTTGCTTGACGACCTCCGTGGCCGAGTGGTTTGTACGCCGGTTTCATGGTGTCGGCGACTCGAGAGGTCCCGGGTTCGAATCCCGGTGGGGGGCAGATGTTTGTGTGATGAATACGAGCATTTGTACTCCAGTCATGGATGTTTAATATGTAATTCTATATAAATATATTTATATATGTACAGTATATGTATTCTATCCGTTTCCCTAGTATCCCATAACACAAGCCTTACAGTGCTTACTTTGGGGCTAGGCTAATTGGTGTGTGTTGGAAAATAAAAAATAATGATGTATATATATATATATATATATATGTATATATATATATATATATATATATATATATATATATGTATGTATATATATATATATATATATATATATATATATATATATATATATATATATATATAGACTTTTTGGTGGTTTAATTTTTATGCAGTGAGTTTTTATTTTTGTTAATAAAGTTTTAATTTTCATCTTTTCATAAGCCCTAACAACATCAATCAAATCACTATATAAGGCTCGTTTAAACGATCATGCTTCAAACGTCCACACTCATAATTACTCGTAGAGGGTACGCGTAGCTACAAGTTATGGCGTTCCGAGGCACGCGTGCGCTGGAATCTATACTGAATTATAAACTATGTTATTGTCGATCCAATCGAACGTTCTCAAAAACTGTTGCTTCGCAGATTTCTTCCAAGAATCTAAAGGCTTCATCACTTCTCTAAACGAAAAAAAATTGCCTGCTTGGAGAAACTAGGTTTCTTAAAATGATTTTGTAATTTAAAATATTGTTTATTGTAGTTTTGCATGCAGCATACCTTGGACATATACATAATGGTGCCTAACTTTATTATATATAAGTACAGTAAAAAAATCGCAAACTACCAAAAGATCATTTTGGTGGGCAGAGATCCCTGCATGGTCAGTTTTGGAGAAACCTTACCACAAACTGGAGCATTAAAATCCCCCCATAAACACCAATTCTGCATTTGAAAATTGCTCCTGCTCGTCTTCTGTTACCTGGCTAAGCCGTTCGAAAAGTCAGATTACCTCGATGTCACCGTGTGGGATCTGTAGAGGCACACGTGGACTCTAGACAAAGGACCAGAGTCCATGTGAACCCCTTACATGGAAAAGGAGGGATGTTCCGCCTGAACATACAGGCATACACCGGCTTTCGCTTTAAAGGACCCTTCAAGCACGTAGTCAGGATAATTTAGGGAGCCTGTGGCAGCGGGTGAAAGTATTTGTGTCTCCGTCAAAAACAACAATGCTCAAGATGGTGGTGGACAGCGTTGAGGTTTGAGTGGGAGCTGCGTATATTGCAGAACTCGATCTCAACCAACTCGGAAGGCGTGAGGGTGTGCATTGCTGTACGTCCGAACTATGTTTTTGCAGCCGCTATTGTGGAGGATGAAGAGATGTCAAACGAATGGACGTTGTAGCGACAAAACGGCGAAAATTAGCGAGGCTTGTTTGCCTGAGAGACTATCTAAACAGGAGATATAAAGATCGGCTGGACGGAAATGCCCCGTATCCCCCGTAAGTGGACGCCGGGGCCCTAAGCTTCGGACCCCACCAATTGACTCGGCGGGCGAGATTATACGTAGCATGGTGGGGCAGCTTCGGCTAGAGGGTCAGATGTTTTTACGGGTCTCCCTGACCGGCGGGTCGATGCAATCCTCTCAGCATCGGTTCAAAGGATGCCTCTACACGGCCGAGTCTATCGCGGCAACGCCCACTCGAGCTCTGGTTGTACGCTGGCTAACCTCGAAACCCGCTCAAGGTGCACTTCACGAGTTTTACACCATGCACACAGTGGTAACTAACCAGGCGGGCGTTAAGCGCCCTACCACCAGTAGAGCGGAGGGAAGCTCCGAGTGCCCTTAGTCGCTTCTTACGACACTCGCGGGAAGATAAAAGGGGCAGTGAATAGAATTCTTTCTCCGTCACTGCACGAATATAATATATTTTAACTAATATACATATCTTTTTTTCTAATTCATTTACGGGTATATTTTAATGATAATATTATTTAAATGAATTGATTTTCAATAATATATAGTATTATATGATTGCTCTGGCATCATTTATTGATCGCTCTGGTCATAATAATTTCAAACGTATTTATCGCATAAACCGTTTGCAGAAAATGAGGGACAATAAGAAAAAACACATTCTTGTACGATTTCTTATTTGCAAAAATAACTAAAATCTTAAACTATTAATACAAAAAATGCAGCAGAGCGATCAACTGAATAACTTTATTATAGAGAAGTAGCCTAAAATTAAAAGCAAATAATGTCATACGTAGTCATGAATTTGATTTTAGACAAGAACCCGAGAATCTCATAAGAAGTGCACAGTATACACGAGAGAATTAGGAAGACTCTCGGGGAAAATGAATATTGCTCTAAAGTATTATAAGGCGCTCAGAGTGGATTTTCTAAAATCTATCATACAATCTGAATCTGTAAACAGAAAACCACCTCGCACATGTCGCACAATAGGCGCAAAATAGTGAAAATAATCCGTAGATGCTAAAAAATAGCAAGGAGTTCCCCATAAAAATACATCATGTCATTCACCCCAAATTTTTTCAATAAGAGTTTTTTGATGATTTACTTGCAGTTTCCAGAATTTTGACCGTTTCTATCTTATGGGAGATTTTAATGGGCTACGAAAGTATCTGTGACAGTCGTAATGTAAATGTTTTAGGTGTAACGTTTCTCTTATAACCAATAAGTATAGTCCAACAATACAAACACATCAGTCAAAACTAATTTAATATACTGTTTTGTTATTAACTACTTAAGATAAATGCTTCTTTCGTTGATGCAAAGCTTTATTTACATTACGAAATTAGTGGCATAAAAGTAGTTACGTCATATTAATTTCATTCACAATTTCACGTGTGACGTTTACTCGTGAAAAACATTGACATTTATACGTCTTGACGTTTACACGTGTAATTGTTGATAAAACTAAAATCAAGTAACTACTTTCACGATTTCGTAATGTAAATTCAGCTTAAGTATAATTGATTTGATGTACCACTTTACAAATCCTAATAGGAAGGTATGGCCTAATAAGCCTATAAGGAAGGTAAGTCTTTGACTTCCTAATGCCAAAATAAAAATAAAAAAAAATGTAAATTGTGTAAGCTCTAAGTACCAAGTACTTAATCACGTTTGTTACAATTGTGTTTTGTCAAGTGTTTCTGTCCCATACTTTTTGATTTACATGAATAATTATTTTTTTGTTTATTCAATTTATTTATTTCTATACTTACGCAAAGAAACACAAACGTTAACTAATTTATTTATTTGGATTAATAATAATGAATTAGTAAAAGCAATTTATACAACCTCATTTACCGAGACATCGTAAAAATTCTCAAATCATTTCTCTAAGGATAAACATTCTATCTTTATAAAAACATAGTATTGTTTTCAAGCAAATCAAAAAAAATAATGTTATTCGACTTTTGCAAAAGCAGTTGTTTGTGGAAACAAATTACTTAATTAAGCTAGCTGAAAATCCAATCAACATTTAATTTCAGATCGGCTATCGAATTCTAAACTCGCTACGCATACATTCTTTTATTTGTCCCAAAACCATCGAGAACTGCGTCGATACTCGGTAATTCGCTTTGAATTTCTCGCAATGTTCGATGAAGACGGGGTGTAAATATCTCAGCACTGCGTGGTCTAGGGTCGGAAACATGTGGTGGAGGGCGTGATCTCCGAACAATGTGACCACTGCGAACACGTTTCCGTTCACGTCCTTGCGGTCTATCAGAGCTTCCACTTGATGTTCACCCCAATCCGGTGTTACACTCCTGCATAACAAAAGAGTATTTGATACGAATTTGATATTAATTGCTCAAGTAAGCTATGAAATTTAAACATACCGGTACCCTGACTGATAATTTAAATCAGACATCAGACTTGATTCATGATCACACTTTTACCAGAGTACTTAATACAAGATATATTACGTATAACTATTAAAGAGGAATCACTGGTAAGTATTCGGCAATACCACAAAGTACGCAATTACCTGTGGTATAACTACCTGATCAGAAAAGTGGCGTTGTCTGTTCTCCTTTTTGTTACGTCGATCATTATGGTTCCTTTATTTTTTTTTGTTTCCTTATAATTTCATTGTTTTCATAGATACCTTGGCTTATCTCCATCTTTAATAGCTTCTGGGTGATGATGTGCTGCGTTAACGCCGATAGCGAAAAATATCAAGCTACCCGTACAGTTGATCCACAGCCAAATTCTTAATATATGAAGAACCGAAGCACCGCTCACTATCCACATAGTTAATGGCAAAAGAAATCCAATTAAGTCATGCCAACGGTAGTGTCGTTTAAAAAAGCCATCTCTGAAGAAGATCGACATGAATCTGAAAATGTAATTAAATAATATTGGACAACTTTTAGCAGCCTTGACCTCCTACATCGTGATATTGCATAATTAAGCGTATTTCTATCGTTATAGCACGGCAGGCATTCTAGGATCAATAAACCTTGTCCCATCTCCTTTTTCCTTCATACGATCATGCATGCAGGCTTACGTTGCCATAGGCTTATACTGCACTTGCAGCGCGAACAAAAAAATATTATTTACCACAAGGTATTCTCTCACTCCACCACAACTTTCTTTCACTTGCTCCCACCTTCCTAAACCCGGGGTCCTACAAAATGGCAAAGCAGATTTAACTGCTAACTTCGCGTTAACACTACTTAAAATAGTACGAGTACGATTCATTTTTCTACCTGTTATAAAAAATAAAGTTTTTCATTCTTTATTAATTAACAAAGACCCTTGGGAAATAAATCCTAAACAGGAAAGTGCCACAATACCTAGGAAGGTTAGTTTTTTCTACTAACCCGATTGTAGACTAAATTTCTTGGTATTTTAAGTGTCATTAAATGAAAAATTATGTCATATGAAGGTATGAGAGCTGTTTTGTTTCACTGAAGTCTCCCAATGTTAAATTTGTTTCTGAATGTAAGAATTTTATTAAAATTTTTCAAACAGTCGCTAACACCACTTTATTTTTCTTGTAAGTTCAAGAGCTTATCATTTATTCTATTCACTAGAGCAGTAGTAGAAGAATCTAGTCCGATATCAAAGACCCAGCGTTCGCATGGTTGGAATTTTCAATTTTATCTCACCTTTTCACGAAACTGAAGAGAAAAATGAATGGAAAGAAGAACAATTCAGTTATGAAGCCCACTCGTGCGTGCACCGGCTTATCTTTCCTTGGATTGTAGAACAAAACGGGCTCCAACGAACTGATCTCCAAATCCATTAAAGTATTCGTGTAGAGATGGTGCGATATGACGTGAGACACTCGGAAATCTCTGTAATGGAAATCGCAGTGTCGTGGTAAATTAATCTGACAGTATTGTAGTATTATCATAGTTCTTCATCAATTTACAATAGGTTGATTTTTTTGGGAGTGCCCAGAACTCAAGATCAAGCCTTTGATTAAAATCGGTGAAGTAAAAGTACAGCTTCAAAATAATGTGAAATGATAAAACTTCTTTACTTTTTGGACCATTTCCACAATTGGTGGCTGCTAACGACTGCAGATGCAGCCGGGACCAACGGCTTAACGTGCCTTCCGAAGCACAGAGGAGCTCGGAATAGTAAATTTTTGGTCACCCATCCAATGACCGACCACTACGAAAGTTGCTTAACTTCAACGAACGCAGCCGAACGCGCTAACCACTTGCGCCATCGAGCTCCTCAATTTTAGCATTATTATCATATTATGATAAAAAAAAGCACTAACCTGTATGACCACATGCTCATATTAAACAAATACATTCTCCAATTTGTACTTCTGTGGATATAGTTATGACACGCCACCGTCAAAATGGCGAGATTCACAGATGCAAAAATGTACCAAACTGTAGCCGCATAGTAATTTTTCACCCATGCCGCCATCGCGGAGCTACATAAAAGAGTTACAAATAGCCCATCCGTTATCCTATCCGCGGCTTTAGACACATCTTTGGGTATTTTCTCCAGTTCTTTGTGCACCGCTTTTTTCAGAGTCCTATAAAAACCATCCTCGTTGAACGTAAAAGGGGAGTTCCTTGGTGTGTTCGCGTCTCTGACGTAGTATTTGTCTAAGAGTTTTTCTACTGTTGGATTTATGTGATGGGCCTCGAACGCTTCTGTTATGTCAGTCCCCTGATAAATAAATAAAGAGTAAGCAAAACAAACTGGAATTAACATATCGACTGACGAAGTTGGAACTTTGGGGTGCGACTAATCAAAAACACATTAACTCAACTGAATTTCGCTATGAGTTGGGGTTTATTTGGTTTTCTCGATTCAGTTAAATAAGTCAAATTTTTAAATGAATATTATTTAACTTATGCTTGTTTTCGTCTTCGCGTCGTTTTTTACATCTAACAGTAACCTATTTTTATCTGTGATAAAAGTTGTTACTTTATTAAGTTGCAAGATTTTTAATAATTTGCATTATTCGTATGTATGTGTGCAAGTTTTTTGTATTTATAATAATAATAAAAATTCACCTCACACCAATTAGCCTAGCCACAAATAGAACACATATTCGTAACTGATAGAAGTCATAGTCGTATTCTGATACATATATAAGTATATCTATTTAGAAATAAATATAAACTTCCATTACTTAGGTACAAGTGCTCGTTATTATCATAATAACATTTGCCCTGCCGGCATTCGCACCCGGGACCTCTGAGTGGGTGACGCCTTTAAACCCGGCGTATGTAATACAAAGACGACCTTGCTACGAAGGTCGTCTTTGTATTTAATCGAACAAAAAATTTGTGTACTCCTTTAATTTTGGTGATGCAATACTATAACTAACTAGAAGCAATACTCAATATTGTAATATTTCTTAAATGGTCGCGCTGCTCTAATAAGGCGGATAAAATATTTTTTTCAGCGCCCTTAATATTGGTTTTAAATGAAAGGGCTGAAAAGTAAAATAATCTTTAAAAAACATATTTTAAAAGCAATCAAAAGACTCACGGAATCTGTGAAAATTTCAAATATATACGGTGTTACGGTTTGACATATGGACGGACAGTCAGCGGAAGCTTAGGTACGGAAACCTAAAAACGTACCCTTACTGAGTTCTACCGGTTGTTTCAGTATACTTTTTATATGTACATATTTTCTATTGTACAAGTGCGAGTTAGAATTTTAGGTTGAATAAACGATGTTTATATGTATAATAATGAACGAGATAGTTTGGGAACCATCATAGACTGATATTTAAATATCTTTTAAACTATAATACCTCATTATTATGAAATCATTGGATGTGTAATTTTCAATCCTCCAAACTCTATCAAAAGCGCAAGAACATTAACGTAAAACATGACATTACCATTTCTTTCTAAATTACTGAAATTTCAAAAGTCTTGCGATTCAGCGACTACTTTAAAATTTAAAGGTACGTTTTGGCAGCTCGATGTAAGCTACCATTAAATAATAAAAAGTTTACCTGCGTCAACTCCAACCATTCCTCGCCGCCGGGATGTCGCTTCATGAAACTTGTGAAGTCATATAATTTATCGTGAATACGCCATATACCTTCTGCACCATCGTCCATAGCTTTCCCTTTGAGCCACTGTATAGGATCCCTAGCGGCACCATCCCTTAGAGAAGGGTACTTTAACTGTGGGAAGCTAACATGAGTCCTTTTCTCAGCTATCCTTTTTTGGGCGATGCTCTCCCATTCAATATCTTTTGGGGCCATTTTTCATGATAATGAAATGATTTTCGTATATTTATGACGATATATGAGCTCAGTACTATAAGAAATGCGTGTGAACGTAATATTAGCTCATGTTTGACTGTCCACAAACGCTATGCTGATAACCCGTTGTGCATTGTAAACAAGTTAATTACCTTTGAACTTAGATTGATTTCTCATTGCCCTGATCATTATATACTTTACGCTAGCGATCTGCCGCGGCGTTTCACGGATAAACTTTAATATGGCAAGATAAAATATAGCTTGTGATACTCAGGAATGATGTGTTCTAATAAAACTTTCTTCTTTGTATTTTTTTTAAATTTAGTTTTAAAGTGAATATATCCTGTTATTGAAGCTATCCAATATCACTGACTTATCAAATAGTTCGTTTCGTAGAATGAAAAATCATTTTATTTTTGTCTCAACTCGCAAAGTACATTGTGAATCGGCGTTGTCAATATAATTTGTTGTTAAAATGCAGCATATGGGACATCATATACTAAAATTTCAGTCTTAACTAGTTTCAATTTTGAGATAATACCCATAACAAAAATTGACATGACAACCTTTACCACAAAATTATTAATATTTTGAGAGACGCAGCAATTCAGACGAGAAAGCAGGTTCAAAAGAGAACTCGGACACGTAAAGTTCTGTGTGGGTGGAATCTGCATGTGCGTGAAGCTCACCGAAAGGCAAGGCTAAACTTTCAGGTCTGGGTATTGCATAAACGTCCTTCATCTGGTGAATTCTATGAACGGATGTGTGAATCTCGTAAGATATTTAAGGGTCGGCTGAAATGGTGCTTAAATAATCAAGAGCAAATCAAAATGGACCAAATTACAAAGCTGAGATATGATAAAAAGTTTCGTAATTTTTGGCGATCTACTGGAAAAATGGATGTTAGGCCTGGCCTTTCTGCTTGTATCGATGGCAAAAATAACCCAGAAGAGATTGCAAATTTGTTTATGGAACACTTTAAGGTGCGGTCTCCGATAGGTCCGGGGTCACTGCTAAGATTCACTGCTTAGCAGGTGGAAAGTGTAATTAGCGGAATGAGCAGGGGCAAATCTCCTGGGCATGATGGGCTTGATGGCAATACTAATATTGAGCACCTGAAATATGCAGGGTTACACTTGCCGAGGGTTCTGTCTTTGTTTTTTAATCTATGCATTAGTCACTCATACCTGCCGACCGATTTAATGAAAACGATTGTAGTCCCTATTGTCAAAAACAAGACGGGAGATATTTCTAATAAGGGAAATTACCGCCCTATATCGTTGGCTACTACGGTCGCTAAAGTGTTGGACAGTTTGCTTGACTCATGTTTGCAAAAGCACCTAAATTTACATGACGCGCAGTTCGGTTTTAGAACCGGACTATCAACCGATAGTCCGGTTCGCTATACTGAGTCTCAAGCATACTGTCCAGTATTACACAGACCGAAGAACGCCGGTGTACGCCTGTTTCTTGGATCTCTCCAGGGCCTTCGATCTCGTTTCCTACGATGTGCTCTGGAGAAAGATGAGAGACAGGGGTATTCCAGCTGAGGTGGTCAACATATTAAGGTATTGGTACTTGAACCAAACCAACAATGTAAAATGGTCGAATAGTCTCTCTAAAACGTATGGGTTGGAATGTGGAGTGAGACAGGGTGGGTTGACGTCTCCGAAGCTCTTCAATCTATATGTCAATGATCTCATTGTGAAGCTTAGCAGCATGCGGGTCGGTTGCCGGGTAGGGGGTGTTAATATAAATAACATCAGCTACGCGGATGATATGGTGCTGCTGAGCCCGACAGTGGGAGCTATTAGGGAGCTGTTAAAAGTGTGTGAGACCTATGCTACGTCGCATGGTCTTGTTTACAATGAAAACAAGAGTGAATACATGATCTTTAAGGCCGCAGGCAAATGTCGGGATGTCACCTCTCCTATCACCTTGAATGGATCACTACTAAAACGGGTCTATCAATTTAAATACCTTGGTCATATCATTGCCGACGACCTTAAAGACGACCTTGACATTGAGAGAGAGCGAAGGGCGATGGCGATTCGAGGAAACATGCTGGCTCGAAGATTCGCTCGCTGTTCGGATCAGGTCAAGATAACCTTATTCAAAGCCTATTGTCAGGGTATGTACGCGGGAAGTTTGTGGTCCAAATATACGAAAAAATCCATGGACACTTTGCACGTGCAATACAATAATATCTTCAGGATGATGTTGGGACTGCCCCGCTTCTGTAGTGCCTCCGGAATGTTTACTGAAACTCGGACTGATGGTTTTCATGCCTTCTTGCGGAAAAAAGTTGCGTCCCTGATGTGTAGAGTGCGGAGCAGTAACAACACCATTCTGGAGACCGTGGCAGGAGATCCGCATGCACCATTTTGGAGGCATTCCGTGCGTATGATGACTGAAATAGGAGTTAATTATTCTTCTTGGTGTCCCTCGCGCGGTGTGCCTCTAAGGTACATGACCTATTGAAAAGGCATAAATATTTTGAATATGTAAATACTTATTATAGGCTACTAACACTTAGCTGTAAGTTATATTGTATACTAACATATGGATCTATGTTGTCTGCCAATAAATGATATTATTATTATTAAAAATGGTCTAAAATCATAATATTGTCGACACCCCATTTTTTTGCTTTTAATAAAAATAATAATATGAAAAATTATATATATGCTATTCAACGAGCACTAAACAATGACGTGTCACATGCAAGGGTAAAATTCAAAAATTGTATTTCGACTCCTATTCACATCCATGAAAAATAATTTAATTGTTTTTCTTTTGTTATATTCTGTTTTGGGCAAGAATTCTACATAAAATATCAAAATTTCAGATCTGTAAGTAATTTCGTTTACGATCTAGAAACCTGTGACACATGGACAGACAGACACACAGACAACTTAGGCAAAACGGAAACGGACGGCCTGGAAAACGGAACCCTATTTCCGTTTAACCTTTAGGCGCGGATTACTAAAAACGGACGGTTATTACATACCATGTAACATAAATATCTATTTTGACAGACAAATATTTGGAAAAATCTTTCCATCTACCAGTTATTTTACTAATAAAACACTTTTTAAACGGCGCTGAAAAGCGGACTTTAAACGGACTTCTGACCGCAGAGTCTGAAAAGGGTCAAGAATAATACTACCTAATTAAAAATCAATAAATCACTTCATTACTGATTAAAAAAGTAATTTATGTAGTGGTTTTAGTTTTTCAAAGAAAACTGGCAAAAGAAATGTTTTAAAAAATATATTTTACATTGCTACACATATTATCCCGTTTGTTTTGAAAAAGATAACCTATGAAGAACTTTGTGCCTATGTAGATTTGATATCGGAATCTTATTCAATATTTTGCTTTTAATCTCAATCATAATTATGTTATAAACAAACCAATTTGTTTCGATCTCACGTTCGACTTACGTGAAAGTAAAGAGTCATTGTATCTCTTTATTTCCATCCTCTCAGACGAGGGAGTGTATGTTTTATTTATGTAGAATATTAAATGACCCCCTGATGTTAATCGGCCACCATAGCCTATAAATGTGTAAATTTCTCATGGAACCTCTGCAGCCAGCTGAAAGGCTATGTCAGACACTTACTGACTAAATAAAATACACACGTGGGCGACTCCTTTAGCTATAATTAACTGAAGACTGTAGAAACGTAGAGAGCATATCAGAGAGGTACAAACACACTTCAGGCTTCAACTGATGCGATCATCGCCACTTCTATACTCAGGACCCTGAGTTATGGGGTGCGGGGTATGCTTTTTTAGCCAAATCCTGCCTCAGATACCCCCACAGCAACCCTCTGTTAGTTACTGTTAGTCTGTATACTCCATTACCTTTGCTTCTGTATTAAAAATAATCTTCTTACATTGTGGTTAGAGGCCTCCCGCTCAGTTAAACGAAAACTATGTAGACGTTGGAAATCTAGCTCAGTATGCTAGTATTTCCGAAGTAACAAATACAATGCTAATTTCGATTAGACCAGCTAAGTTTGAGATTGTTATATTTCAAAAAATTGCCTAATACATGAAAAACTTACTGCGAAAATATATCTTACGTAATTGTTTTTATTCATAAAGTTCAGGCAGTAAGGCCGCGTTGTATCACTAAATTTGACTATAGTTAATGTTACGTCAAATACATTGTAAAAATTAGTAATTTTGACAAATGGATATTATTTTCTATAGGATTTAACCTATGTGCGCGTGCGGCCTGTGGATGAATTTCACTCAAGAGGCATACAGGGCCCTGCGTACCCAATACAACATCGCCTTCAGGGCGCTGATGGGGCTTCCACGCTACTGTGGTATTTCGGAGATGTTAGCGATGGCTGAAGTTTATAGTTTTTTTGTTACAGCAGGTGCGGGGCGGCTCCAACAACCTCCTGAAGATAGTAGCGGGGAGGTTGGACGTGGACAGCGCTATAATGCAGCACTGGACTCGCGTTCACCTAACAAAAGACACTACTGTCACGTATAATCGATATGCGTGATAGTGGTGTTTGGTATTTATATCAAAATTGATTCGTTCTCTTACTAACATTGTTTATAAGGTTAATGTTGTTGCTAACACTATGGAAATGTCCGAAATAAATGAATTTATTATTATTATTATTAACTATAGTCAAATTTAACTGAAGGTGAAACAACGCAATATTAATCTAATGAGAAAACCTTCACTTTACAGAATCTATAACCTTTTGGTAGTATTGTGTTCTACTGGTAATGTTCCAAGACTCCAAGGGGTATAAGACTCGGTTTAGATCGATAATGTCTAAAGCGGCACACTTTATTATTGTAACAGCTAACTTCGGATATGGTAATTTGATGTGCCTGGTAAAACAAACATATAACTATTTTATACAAGTAGTAATTATTCAAATTGTACAGCATTACTAATCAATAGTATTACTTCGAATTCATTAGATCTACACGTGGAAGCATCATTCGATCGTGTTCTTCATTTGTTAAGGTAACCATGCGTGTGATCGATGTTTGTGCTAGTATATTAATTTTGGCTGGCAACTAAACAACATCAGAAGGAAATACAACGCTTCATACAAGATATCAAGCTTAGTGAAGTATAATTACGAAGGAATTTGCAACTAATCATTTTTATGTATGTAACATTTTTCGTGTTCACACGCGCCCAACGCTGATTGGTGACGTACGTACTGACGACTGCAGTGGCAAGTGGTACAAGCGTTTTAGCGAGCCTTCCGAAGCCCAGAAGACCTCATGGTGATTTTTTTTCGGTTACTCAACCATTTCGAAAGTTGCTTAACATTTTCTATAGTAAGTCATTACACTCATACAAATGAATATACTCATATTGTCCTGATACAAGGTTACTTATTAAAATGTTATATTTTTATGCAATAATCAAAATTACCTACCTTAAAGAAAATTGATGTGACGAACGACGATATTTATGTGGGAATTAGACTCGCGCCACAAAACTCGCAGCAAACACTTAGTATCGGCAACGCATCGATCACATGAACTTAGTCTTCAATACTTAGATAACATTTTTTTTTTTTTTTTTTTTTTTTTTTTTCCGACACTCACACCAATTAGCCTAGCCCCAAAGTAAGCACTGTAAGGCTTGTGTTATGGGATGCTAGGGTAACGGATAGAATACATATACAGTACATATATAAGTATATTTATATAGAAATACATATTCAACATCCATGACTGGAGTACAAATGCTCGTATTCATCACACAAACATCTGCCCCCACCGGGATTCGAACCCGGGACCTCTCGAGTCGGCGACACCATGAAACCCGGCGTACAAACCACTCGACCACGGAGGTCGTCGAAATGCATGCAATGCAAACATGCTTTCCTCTTTCCTTTTTAACTATATTCCTTATATAACCTACAGATTGTTTATTCGTTATTCATACTTCTTGCGCTATTGAATACCAAAACCGTTACATTTTCCTTAACTTTTATGAAAAAAACTAATAGACCGAAAGATTTCCCGCGAAACTTCGAAATGTTTCCAAGCGTCAAAAGCTTGCGCTCGATATCAAAGCTTTGGTTTCAATTCATAAAAGTTGTGCACTCACAAAATTTCTTAATTAATTTTACAAAACAAAGTCGAAGCAATTTATGCTCGAGGAACGTGAAGATAATAAATTAGTTATGATTTTATTTATTTTTTAAGCATTCAACTGCTAGATGTTTAAAATGTTTCTAGTAAACTTTTCTTTAGATTTAAACATCTAGCAGTTGAATGCTTAAAAAATAAATAAAATCATAACTATAATTGCTATTTCTTCTTTCAAATGTTTAATACTTGAAAAAGTATTCATTTGACATTGTGGGTTGCCTACAATGCGAAGAGATGGCGCTGCCTTGCAGCCTAAGGCTAGGAAAATTTCGACGCGGCTAAGAGGGCCGTGGTAGCATAATTGGTCAGTGCATTCGCCCGGATTGCGAAGGATGCGGGTTCGAGTCCCGTCCGCTGCCTGGTCCGCGTGGATTTTTTTCTAGTAAACTTTTCTTTAGATTTAAACATCTAGCAGTTGAATGCTTAAAAAATAAATAAAATCATAACTATAATTGCTATTTCTTCTTTCAAATGTTTAATACTTGAAAAAGTATTCATTTGACATTGTGGGTTGCCTACAATGCGAAGAGATGGCGCTGCCTTGCAGCCTAAGGCTAGGAAAATTTCGACGCGGCTAAGAGGGCCGTGGTAGCATAATTGGTCAGTGCATTCGCCCGGATTGCGAAGGATGCGGGTTCGAGTCCCGTCCGCTGCCTGGTCCGCGTGGATTTTTTTTCTAGTAAACTTTTCTTTAGATAATAAATTAATTCAATTATAACAAAGTACAAAAAACTCGTAAGACTTTTACGGAAATTTTGCTTGAATTCTCACATTTTTATGTACGTTATTATGTTTTGCGCCATACTTAATGTTATGACGCATTTCATCTTATCATGTTCAGAGGAATTGTTCGGATTAATTCCAGCTGCTGCTTTTCGTCATCGTACATCGCCACCAATATTCCATCGTCTCGATGGGTGCCTATCAATATAATCGTCATACCCAACCGTGCGTTTTTGTCGAAACTTTTTACCACGTACGACAAAACTGTGGAATACATTGTCGCCAGCAGTGTTTCAGGACCAATAGGACCCGGAAACCTTAAAAAAAAGAGCGTACTCCTTCCTTAAAAGCCGGCATCGCATTTGTGATACAGATATTTGAGACACAGTTGCAGGGGTCTATGGGTGACGGTGATCACTTATAGGGAGCATGTGCTCGCCTGCACACCTGACGGTATGTGATCAATGTCGCCCATGAACACCTGCAATTGTATCTCAAATCAAATGAGAAAATGTATCACAAATGCGATGCCGGCCTTTAAGGAAGGAGTATGCTATTTTTTGAATGTTTTCGGGTTGTGTCTGTATCAGATATTTGAGATAAAATTGCAGGTGTCTATGGGCAATGGTGATCACTTACCATCAGGTGTACAGGCGAGTGTTAGATAATATACACATAAGGTCATTAACAAGCTAAAAACAAAACATCGAGGCGGCTGTATAATTATTGTACACTTAAAAATGGTTGATTCAGTGATGTTATTGCTGCTTCAATACTCGTACTTGATTTTTGTAATGTAGGTTTTATATAAAATACTGTGAAAATCTATTGCTAGCACTAAATTACATAATTTAATAGAATATTTCATAAATTGCGGGTAGTCAGCGAAATCTTTGTACACGTGTTCTGAACGGCCCGATGACGTTAGTTGTTTGTCGCTGCCTTTAAAAGGCCGAGCTCCAGCCTTTGCGGGGCGATTCTGTATCGAGCCATCGGACCGAGCGGAGCTCTGAGTTAAGTAATCATTTTCATATTGTTGTTTATAACTTTTATCGGAATTATATTTGTTTAATATTGTAAGTCATAATCTAATAAGGAAATTTATTTAGATTAATAAAATATATGAGTTTACAATTACAAAAAGCTTAAAACTACCTAATGTCTAAAAATAATATACAATAATATATTTTTGCCATTTACAATAGAAATTACTTCTGTAATCTTAAAAATTAAAATAAGAGATTATTTGCGAGTAAAGATTTTATACTTTGTTTTGGTATTTTAATAATCCATAAATAGTGTACTTTAAACATTTAATAATTTTGAAAGTAGTTATTTCCCTTATAAAATAAAGAAATCTGAATCTATTGAATAGTTTTATTTCCATTCCATTTGCTTTTATTGCTTTATATAAGTTTCAAAGTGTTTATAAAATTAATTATTAATGCCAATGCTAACACGAGCTTATGCTCCCTATAATATGAAAAATACATATAAAATCCTATTATCTCTTATATATGTTACTTATATTCGATCTATACAATGAAATATAGCAGTACTACGATAGGTACGTGATTTAACATTATAAGCTAATTTTTAACTAAGATAATTAACATTACAATAGATGTCAAGAAAATGAAAGGAATTATAATATATTTTTTTTGTGAGAGCAAAACTTTGAATTATTAAATTATGTATGCAAGAATAGTAAGGAGGAATAAGATCGCTTCTTGATAATGCAGTAATATAATTAAGTTATTAAGTAACGGGTGTAAGAAACTTCACAACATTTAAAGATCACACTGCAGAATTCTGCTATATTCCTAACTTTGGAATTAGCCGCAGCAATTACACCGACAGATTGAACATCATTCATATTGATTAAAGTTCTCAGACAAATAAATCTGCCTGCAGGATTGACATAGTTCGAAACGTATATGTACCTCTCTGATATGGTCTCTCCGTCCCAACAGTATTCAGTTAATTATAGCCAGTTCAGATACAACCTTGCCAACAATATGTCAAGTCTATGTTGCCAACTTGATACTTTGCTTCAGATTTCTTTATGTGAAGTATTGTTACTAACGTCTTTCTCTTAATTTTTATGGTATCATTATGTTTTTAGCTCGCTTAACTTCAGTCGCCACATTATTATGTGAAAATATTTTATCACTCTCCCCCCTTAATTAGTCCCCACGCTGAAGTTACGCCTACCTACTTTCCTCTATTGATTCTTTTCATTACAATAGAAGTTGGGTGAACGTACTCAATGATTTTTCCCTGAAAACTTCAAAAGAATAAAATTTTACTAACAATAATAATATGAAAGTAATTTTCACCTGGAAACAAAAAACTGCCACAAATTTTGACATGATCGTAATACACACTAAATCATTTTATTTTCCGAAGCCATTGTTATTTGAAAAGGTTCACACAATGAGTATTCTAAACCAATTAACGCGTATTATAGTAAATAAATTAATAGAAGCACAACTGCAGTATTAAAACATCGTTTATTAACCTAATCAATATCTAATTTAGCTCCATTTTTCCATTTGCGTAGCGATAAAGGTATTTCCATTTGCCCAAGTCCGGGCAACTTATCAAACGGATAGTTGGCGAATTCCTGCCAGAACAAGGGTCTTACTGTTCGATAACCATTGTCGAACTCCGCCAGAGTGTTCATGTCATTCTCGTCCAGAGTGAAGTCGAAAATTTGAGCGTTTTCCAGAACTCTACTTTTTGTCACGGTTTTCGGGATGCTTACAATACCTCGCTGAAACTGAAAGGAAAAGACGGAGTTTCACTTGAATGTTTTTTTCAAATGTTATATGAAAACTTGAGCTTGAGTAATTTCTTCTCCTTGCGCCTTTTTCTCATTTTCATATAGAACTTATCAAATATATTTAATAGAAGGAGCTCGATTGCGCAGTTGGTTAGCGCGTTCGTAGAGAAAACGAAAAAGTTAAGCAACCCTCGCAATGGTCGGTTATTAGATGGGTGTCCCAAAAATTATTATCTCGAGCTCCTCCGTGCTTCGGAAGGCATGTTAAGCTGTTGGTGCAAGCTGCATCAGCTGCAGTCGATAGCACCTACCAATCCGCACTGGATCCGCGTAGTGGCTCACAGCCCAGTATACCTATTCCATCCATAGGGAAGGTCTGTGTCCCTACAGTGGGGACATAAATAGGCTGATGATAATGAAAATATATTTAATATTACTAAATTATGGTATTTTTTTGTTTATGAATTAATAAACGGCGCGGCGTGATAAAAGCATTTTTTTATTAGAGAACAACAACTAATAACTTCGCTTGACTAATTACTTAATAAAAATATGTGCTATTGATAGATATGTCTTAACATTTAATCTCCTTTACAAATATCTAAGATCATTAAAGTATAAACAAATTGTTGCCACCGTATTTTTTTCTTGTCCTTGTGGAAAACAAAAAATAAAGTTTCATTTGAATGACGTTCTTCATTCAAGTTACAAATACCCAATTCAAAATTGGATTTCGTTCTTTTGCCAACTTGGGCATCTAATTCGTTGAGCATCCCATTAAAACTCAAACAGAGTGTTATATTATTGTTGTAGTTATACAGGGATTTTTAATTGGGACGGGGTATCTTTGACTACCGATATCGGTAACATTGAGAAAGAGTAACATAACTGAAGTTTAGCAATGAGATAGAGATGCCATTATGTCAAAAATTTATGCAAAATCAGACTTTTCTTGTTTAAGCTAGCATACGAATAAAATGTGATTATTTAAACAATGTGGTATTCCACACATAATGCCAAAGAGAAAAAAAGAAAGTGAAATCTAATTGAAACCAAACTGTTTTCATTCGAATTCAAAAGTATCCGGTTCTTATTGAAAATCCCAATATTAGGTACTCACCAAGTATCTGAGTGTAATCTGTGTAACAGTTTTGTCGTGCTTTTTAGCTATCTCCAACATCGTAGGATTATTCAACTTTGGTTCCGGGCTGTTTGGAGTTTGCCGACTAGGTACCATCGTACCAAAAGGCGAGTAGGCCACAACTATTATACCATTAGCGTGACAGAATTCCACAAGCTCATTTTGTCCCAAGTTTAAATTTAGCTGAGGGAGCGAAGACAATTATTGTATAGCGTTTGTAGAAATTTACTTAAGTAACATTACATAATAATTATATGAGAGACAATTTGTCTAGCATTCACAAAGGCTATTTGACATGTTTTTAAAAACGTTCATATGTTACTTTTTAGTGTATAGTGATACCATAAAAAGTTTTTAATTTATAATCAAATTATGAAAAACAATGTTTTCAAATTGCCGCAGTAACGTTTCTCTAGCAAATATGGCGTGCTACAGGCATATGACGTCACACGGCTGTCATTAAAACTGTAGGATCTGTGTATTGTTTTAAACTTTCGTGGTCACTAACATTAAAGTAATATATGTTATTTACGGGATTGCTGCCGATCGCAAACTCGCTTAAAACAAGGTCACCTACATGGTAGAAATCCAGTAAATAGTATATATTTCGATAATGTAGGATCTGTGGTTTTCTAGGAAGCTCCTTGTGGAGGGGAGCAAAAAGCCTCTTGCGCTCGAGGAAAACTAAACGTGTTGACATCTTTCCCATTTACCTACGATATACTACAGAATATCTGTCACTGTTAAACACTTACTTCTATCTGTAAAGATGCAGGAACAACTTTGCAATTGGTAACTAGCCTCTTCATTTGCTCTATATTAAAGTTCGAAACTCCAATTGCTTTAACTAAGCCCTTTTCAAGCACCGATTCACATCCTCTCCAAGTTTCCAAATAGTCTATTTTCTCATCGACTCCATCTTCCTAGAAATTTATATTGTGCCTATTGAAACTCGATAAGCGTAAACAAAGCTTTGACTGCCACAATAATTTATTTGAAGTCAAAACAAAAGATATTATTTTGGGCTCTTAAATCGATAATCGATGTATTGTGAATTTCACCTTGCCGTTTTCTAAACGGTATCAAAACTACGTAAGTTAAAGTATTTACTGTGACCGTCGATCGAAAGTTACATTAACAAGAGAAGAGAACCTACAAGAGCTTATTTCTTTAAAAAATACTAGACATAAATGCTCTTATGTCGCTCAACACGAAACGGTTTACAAACCCAATTAACGTAATGAAGTTTCAAAAGTTTGAGATCCAAGTAAAAATATATATTTTTCCCACGTAGTACTGAAATTAAAGCAAATAACATGACATAAAATGAAATAGAAATATGAATAAATGTTTTTAAAGAGTCATTAAAATGAGATATAAGAAAAAAACACGATAACGAAAAACAAACACAGAAAACAGACGATATGCCTAAGACTTTGATTACGAAACATTTATATAATGAAGACAACAATATCACTCGTAGCATAGTTCCTTCTATATTATGATAAGTAAGTATCCATAATTTTAATTCTTATTTAAAAATCTATGGATGTTCTCAAATGTTTGTGTAATTACCAAATCTTATGAAGATTTAATGTTATTTTCATTCTGAGCACTTAACTTCTAGATTTATATATCTAAAGAAAATGTTAATAGAAAAAAAATCTTAGTATCGGGCAAAATATGCATTCCTTGGCAGAGTTGAACTGTATGTAGTAGGTATGTAATTTTGGTGAATTTATTATTGTTGTGTTAACAGACACATGTACGTTTATCTCATAGATTATTACTTACAGTGATCGACATGGGCCAATGTATCAAGATAAGGTCGAGATAAGCCAGATTTAGCCGTCTCAGAGATGCTCGAACTGATACCTCTACGTCCGTTTCTCGATGGTACTGGTGCCATATCTAAACATGAGCAAAAATCATATAATACTGAAATACTGACTGGATGAATTAAAAATACTAATTAAGAATCGTTTCTCAAAAATTCCTTTAAAAAATATCCTCTGTGTGTAGTAGTATGTACACCGAGTTTCGAGGTGTCGCCCACTCAGATAGCCCGGGTTCCCGTTGGAGCAAATATTTCTATGATGAATACGAGCATTTGTACTTAAGTCATGGCTTCTTTCCTTCTCACCCTAGTATCCCATAACACACTGAGAGCCAAAAGTGCTTACTTTTTTAGGATTACCTACCTCGAAGGTAAACAAATGAACTCTTACAGGATCACTTTGTTGTCCGTCTGTCTGTCTGTCAAGACCCATTATCTAGAAAATGTGTGGAGATATCAAGATGAAATTTAAACCATATACTCAAATCTGTGGCCGCTTCAAGCTGTGACAAAATCAAAATTCTAAGTTAACGTAGAAAAAGATTCGGCCGTTTATTTGTACGGAATCCTACGTGGGCGAGCCCGACTCGCACATGTAATATTTTTTTTATTGTTGTAAAATAAAGGGTCACAAAGAATTAAAGTAAAATATCAAACTCGAAAACTGGATTTCATAGATTGTAAAAAATACTTAATCTATTAGACACTTTTGATGAGTATATTTATGTATTTTATATGAGGTTCACTGATCAGTGGTAGGCAAATATAAGAGCTGCCAGCTATATATTTATATACCTAGGTTTTAACTCTCTGTTTAGGAAAAATAACAGCTGGCACATCAAGTATTTTACTTTCGCTCCCTGACCAGCATGATGTTGATCCATGTATATGTCGTAGGACGATATGATAAATCGAATTTTCGCTAATATCCTAGAGATTTTGCGAAAACGCGGCTAATTAGACAATGGCGATGACATTGCTCAATATTACTGTTAACTAATTTTTATTCTGGTCACAATACTAGCCTAACCTAGTGTAAACCCAAAAACCCAAGAATATTTAAAATAAGCCGGCGATTTTTATTGCAATCTTACTGAGGTGTAAAAATCTTTTTTCAGTAAGATTGAGAAATATCATCGCCGCTGTCTAATTATCCGCGTTTTCGCAAAATGCCTAGTATTATCGCAAAAAATACGATTTATGAAATCATTCTACGACACATGTAAACGATATTGGGCAAATTATTAGCATGTTACGCTATAAGCAGAAACATCACGCCGTTTTGTACTGACACGAGCCGAAGATATTATACAAGTTAATGCATTACCTTTGATGTCACATAAACGTTTTCTCTTTTAATGACTCCTTCTTTAATCTTCCTGTTTATAATTTCTCCGACCTCCGGTTCAACTCTATACAGATGAGCTGTATCAATATTTCGATATCCGATATCTATAGCATTAGATAATGCATCCATCATTTTCGGTATATCCTCAGTAATAAAATTGGTCTGGAATATAAAACGTTATTAGAAAATACAACTTAAGAAACAGATAAAATTATATTTACAAGAAAATAAAGGGCAAATACGTAAATACTAATAAGGTTCCGCTATTATGTTTTGGTTACTAATACAAATGACAGCAAAGTGCGAGTCGCTATGTGCTTTAATCTTCCCCATTAATATTTTTTCTATTTAATTAATATTATTTATTAGTTATAAAAGTAATAAAAATTGCCGCTATAGCGGTTTATACTGAAGTCTAGATCAGTTCAGTTCGGTCTAGTTTTCCAAATATTCCTTGATAAGAAAAAAAATTAAGATTTTAGTAATGTATATTTTAACGGGATAACTTAACCTTGTAAGGTACCTTTTTTCAGATTCCTCAATATTTCTCCACTGTGCAAGTGCCAATATCACGGAGAAATTAGTGCAATCCCGTTAATAAAATAAATAACTTTCATGTTAGTGGCCATACAAGTTCAAAACAATAGAAGTAATGAAAGATTTAACACAGAACTTACCTTTTCGTCGAGACCGAGCCATGTTCCATAACCCAAAGCAGGGATTTCCTTTTCATTATTCAATTTAAACGTCGGAATGTCAACCTGAAAATTATATAAGGACACTTCAGTAACACAATTTTAAACGTACAAACATTTTATTAGCACCACAACAGAAAAAATTAAACTATTGATCATAATAAAACTATTTCTTTATCTACTCGTATAGGCATACGTAATGTGATTTATCAAATCAGTATTTAACCTTAGCCATGATATACACGCGTTGTCAAATACGCCCGACAGTCGACTGACTAAACGTAAATAAGGAAGTCATATCAATACACGGTATCTTAAAATAGAACATTGTATTCTCTGCGGCAGAAAAATCAACTCATGTGCACTAGTTTCGAAAATACGTGGTGTTACATTATATAATATCTAAACCTATAATAGTACCTATATCCAAACTACTAACCTAATTATAAGTTAGTATATCTATTGTACACTAACCTTTAGGCTCGTAACATAAGCATTCTAACTGTAGTTATTGTCAATCACATCTTCTATATACTTTAGACTCATAAGCATCCCTTATCGCATTAGTAAATACTCCTTGTAAATAAATGATTATATCCCATACTGTATCCCACGCTGATCCTTCACATCCATTAGTATATGTACTCTCATTCCCTTAAATCAAGACAATTCTATTCCTGACTCCGGTCGTACAACACATCGTTACTCTTTTTCTTGTAATTTCTATTTCTTAAATAAGTGTTTAGTTTTAATTGTAATTAGACTTTTGTTCCATCGCCACGTAACAATTTGGCGCAGTTGGTAGGATCAAAACAGTGATTAAGACGAACACAAACGTGTGAGCTCAAGAAGTCCACGGTAGCTGAAAGCTTTTGACAGTGTTCGCCGGACCTGCAGAATGATCCATGTAATCCTGTTATTGTGGTAAGTGGCATAATTTGTCTGCTCAAATTCCCAATTCCTCTGTGTTATATTTTATATTTCATTGTATTCCATTTGTATGTCTCCTTTACCCATCAAAAACGAACCCTTTTTTTTTGCGTGGGGGAAATGCTTTACGCATACCCACTCACTGAACAATGGTGAGCAGGTTATGTCGGACTCTCCCCTGCCTGCCTACCTGACGAGAATGAATTCCCTAGTCGGCAGGCAAGGGCCTACCGACTAAAACCCCCACGGTGTTCCAACAGCATCGACGTTAAGCGCCTCTACGGGTCCGTAACGCACCATAGCAAGCCAGGGCCGACCGCTTGCTATTGAGCAAGCCCATCTCTGGAAGGGGAGCAAGGTCTTGCATCTTTGCATCTCGCCCCTTCCTACCGCTTACCGGGCGATTCACCGGAACACATGGAGCATCGCTCAACTCATGGGACTTCTTGTCCTTACGGGCACCGGGTGTTCAGGCATCCCTAGTCCCTACTGCAAGGCCTGTACGCGAGTATTTCCCCGCCGCCTGCCCCGCCTTCTACGGATCAGCTCAGAGAGGATTTGCCTCTCGTTGGCGCTCCTCAGCCTCTCTCTGCAGCATCACCTCCTCACAGAAGGTTCCAATGCTTTCCATGAGGTTTCGCTATTGACCATCTTGGCCATAACAGTAGGCAAGGAAAGGTCGTTCCCAATTACTGCGATAAGCGAGGATCGCAATTCGGAATGCGCTGGGCATTGTTCTAACGCATGTTGTGCAGTATCCATGGGGCACTGGCACTGGTGGCACTTAGGAGATGGTTCCCTTCCAGCCACGTAGCACACCTCCCGAAGCAGCCATGACCCGTGAGGACCTGCGTCAGGCGGAAAGAGAGAGACCCATTCCGTCGATCTATCCATCTTCTTATAATAGACGCTATCCTTTCAAGTGTTCGGCGCCGGGATCCTGAGCCAGCACTATCCATTTCTACTTGGAGTCTATTGCCCCAAATATTTAGAGCTTCTTCTTCCGCTTCGGAGCGCCACTGGGCAACTTCTTCAGACGTCGGGAGCAGCCCTTGTCTCCGCGCTTGAACTGTTAGCCAGTAGATAGTGGAGAGGATTTGTGCATCCAGCTCTCACGGCATAGTTCTCGCTAGTGCGCACGCCACCGAGTGCGATATGGTGCGATAGCCTCTACATGCTCTAATCGCCATAATTCGTATCAAAAAAAAAACGAACCCTCGTCCAACTCTATTTATCCGAACATATTTAATCTTACCAATTCTGACACAAATACCGTAAAAATGAAATTTCGATACCACACAACCACAACAAATATATAAATTTATACGATCCTGTGATTCCACGTTCAAACAAGCAGATCCAGCAAATAGTCAAATTTTATTAGTCTATGCACTAAATAGCATCACGGGTACAGGTGCTCCTGATATTCACTGCAAACAATATGCTACATGGGAAGACCTTAAGTGCTACCTAATAGAAAAATTTTCCAACGTGAAAACAATTTCACATTTAAATTTAGAATTACAGTCCATGTTTCAAAGACCTAGCGTAAGTATTACAGATTATTTTCATAAAATCGATTTATGTCGAAGTAAAATCATCGAAAAGTTAAATGCCAAAATTAAAGACGATACCCTACTAGGCCGCTTAGCTACAACGAAAGAGACCGCGTTAAGTGTCTTTACAAATGGCTTCTCTAACGAAATAGGCACTATGCTTAGAACGCGTGGTTTCCAAAACCTAGATGAAGCGGGCCGCTTCGCTATGGAGGAAGAAAAAATTAGAGCAATGAATAACGCTAGACTATCCCTATTTAGGGTCAACCATCCTAAACTACTCATAAACCAAATAAATGTTCCAACACGTATTTCACATCCTCCATTTCATCGAAATTCTCACACAAACATAATATCTGCCACAAAAACCTGTGCTTATTGTGAAAATCCGGGTCATCTAATAACAGAATGTCGCAAAAGGATTTATAATAATAATTTACGAAATAATGAAATCGCTCAACCAAATCAACATACATCACAAACTCCCTCAACACAAGCACGTCCGCCAGTACAACGTGCTTTGCTTCCTCCTCCAGCACATGTGAATAATTTAAACTCCCACGCGACCGAGGAAATGAGTAATCTTTCGGAAATTGCTACAGCCTCTTGCTCAACGACCCAGACTCCGACGTCAGCTCCGAGCCTACAATACGAATGGTAGATAGCACTACCACGTCATTTCAAAAACTTAGACGTAGTTTACTAAATCCAGTCCATCGGGGACAAAACACTGATTCTTACAATATCGAAGATGTATCACCAGTCTATCGGCGACAATACAAAGATGCATCAACACAAACTTCTGTATCTCAAATTAAGTCGAAATCGCTTACTCACGAACAGGGTAACCAGTCCCAAAATCTCAGTAACGACGTGATTACAGTATCAAATATTACTAATTCTTCTATTTCTAGCCAAATTACTAATTCTACCACCCCTGCTAATTCATCCAAAACTTCTAAATACTCCAAATATACCAAATCAAAATCAAAAAATAGAATAAAACCCAAACCTCCCAATCAAAAGAAAAAACCTAAAATTGAATCTTATTTCATATCGCCTCTAAACGATGTACCACCCGAAAACTTACTCCATTGTACTTTTCTAATCGAAAACCAACCCGTGACCCTACTCATTGATACCGGCGCAGGTATCTCAATATTGAAAGAAGACAAAATAGGCACAGCTCAACTAAATAAATCAGACTTGGTCTCCGTAGTAGGCATTTCTAGCACACAAACTTCAACTACCAGCTCTGGATCAGCCGATATCTCCCTAGACGAATTTCCTAAATTCAAATTCCATGTTGCTAACTTAAACCTTAAAGCTGATGGTATTTAGGTAATGATTTCATGACAAAGTTCAATGCAAATATTTTTGTTCAAACAAAAACAATGAACATCCAGAACAAAACCAACTTCTGAAGGACCAACATAAATCCTTCCCAGATCGATCCATTTCAAATTTCTCTTACGCCGCAATGGCTTGTGGCATATCAATATCTATCTTCTTACTATATAAATGTTGTCCATGGTACCGCCTCAAACTTAACCAAGGACACCCAGCTACTTTTGAAGAAAACAGACGCTCTAGAGGATGCGTCCAAATCTTCAACAACTGTTTTGACAACTCTCGGCGACATCAAATTATACCAATGGCAAATATCAGCACAAGTGTAATATCGGAAGATGAAGATGACGAAAACCCTTCTACACTTCACTCAAGATCGCGCACACCACAGGCCCAATCTTTATTCTAAGAGGGGAGGTGTTACATTATATAATATCTAAACCTATAATAGTACCTATATCCAAACTGCTAACCTAATTATAAGTTAATATATCTATTGTACACTAACCTTTAGGCTCGTAACATAAGTATTCTAACTGTAGTTATTGTCAATCATATCTTCTGTATACTTTAGAGTCATAAGCATCAAATCAATGATTATATCCCATACTGTATCCCACGCTGCCCCTCCACATCCATTAGTATAAGTACTCCCATTCCCTTAAACCAAGACAATTCTATTCCTGACTCCGATCGTACAACACATCGTTACTCTGTTTCTTGTAATTTCTATTTCTTAAATAAGTGTTTAGTTTTAATTGTAATTAAAGTATAATTGTTTTTTAAAAAAGACTTTTGTTCCATCGCCTCGTAACAGTGGGCAATTTTCATTGGTCTCGTTGTCGAAACTTGATAAAATGTAACTATATACATCTTCAGGATGAAAGGTATGTTATGCGAGTTTTAACTTAAGATGCCTTATAAAACGAGAAAATTATATCATCATTGAACAATCACACGGATGATTACCTGCAAATTATTCATCGAATTAGTTTAATAATATCAGTATCTTTTTAGGGTTCCGTACCCAAAGGGTAAAAACGGGACCTTATTACTAAGACTCCACTGTCTATCTGTCATCTGTCTGTCTATCTGTCATCAGGCTCTATCTCATGAACCATGAAAGCTGGGCAGTTGAAATTTTAGCAAATTATGTATTTCTATTTCCACTATAAAAACAAATGCTAAAAATAATATTTAACTCTATTAAATAAATATTTAAGGGGGGCTCCCACACAACAAACGTGTTTTTTTAACCTTTTTTTACTCTATATTAATAACGACAAATATAATAGAACATTTAGTTGTATATTCACAACCCATAAAATATACGTGATTTTTTCCAATGTCCAATGTTGTATAGATATTGATACGGAACCCTTCGGCGAGTCCACCTCTCATTTGGCCGGATTTTTATTTCAGTCACACGTGTAAAT